GACCACTCCACCCACCCCCCTCTCTCTCTCTCTCTCTCCTCGTCTCTCGTCCTCTTCTATTTCTTCAACGCTTACGTGGCTTCTTCTTCTTCTTCTTGTCAAGTCGCTTCTCGCCTTCTCCTTCTGTGCGTGGACACGTAGAAATTGGGAAGAGAAAGTTGGAAGGGAGGAAAGGGACGATTTCTTCTTCTTCTTCTTCTTCTTTAGGGGGTGTCGAAAAAGTGTTCCACCTTTTTGGCGCGTAGAAGCTTATTACGGAGAAGTTTGGGGATGTGGTGGATGGTGGTAGATTTTCTTTCTTTCTTCCTTTCTTTTTTGCGCGCGTTTTTTTTTTTCCCGGCTTTCGACGAGCTCGAAAAGGGGACTCGAGATTCGTTTCAGGGGATATGAATATAAGGATTGGGGCGAGTTATGCTAATTGCACGTCTACAGGTTGGGAAGAATGGTTTTAATTGAGACGCCCTTTCAATTGAGACGCCTTTGAACACTTTTTTCAAAAGTGGAGGTCGGTATGCTTTTTATTTACTTTCCTCTTCTCTGTATTATAATCGTATTCTTTCGATTCACGAGATACACGTGTGAGGATAGAAATAAAAAGTAATATTAGTAATATTATGTTCATTAAAAAAAAAGCTTTCCGCTTGGTAGATTTATGTTTCGACTCGTAATAGAAAGTTTCTGCAATTCACGCGCGCAGTTATTAGAAAGAAAAAAGGTAACACCGTTCCATATTACTTAATATTCCTTTAGACTTTTTCATTTTTCGAATGTTGTTTAAAAAATAAAATCACGTATCCGTGCCATCATCTCTTCTATCATTAATTATTAACGCCACGCTTATTTTAAAATACCACGAGAAACTGTGATACCCCTCCCCTCCCCACGATCGATACCTGATCTGCAATGCAAAGTAACGATCGCAAACTTGTTCATATCCCGCTCATTAAACGTGACGTCTGGATGAGAAAAAGAGAGAGAGAGAGAAATCGGTTAAAACAATGATTTTCCAACTGGTATTAAAATCATCCTCGTTATCGTAACGACTTGTCATTTTGAGGGAATCAACTCGACAGATGCTTTCTTGCCGACCGTTTCTCGAAAAGAAAACTTGGAGAGCGGATCGAGGAAAGGGTATGAAACGATGGAAAGGCGTGAAAAAGTGGGGAAAAGGGAGGAGGAACAGTGGGTGGCATAAGTGCATACCACTGTTCGATATTTCGACTTCCGTCTCGCGGGGAAACTCGAGAGAAATCGAAAGGTTATAAGAGGCTATACGAGGGAAATAAACGTGATACATTCTCCCCCTCGCGCGACACATTATTCCACATCCGCCATTTCATACAGCTTTCGTTTCGATGTTAGATCCTGTACACTTCTTGGCTGCCTCAGTTATTTTTTTACTTAATTCTCTAATGCGACCATTTCCAAAAATACAATGGAAAATGGTGGATTTATTAACGCGCTTATTTCCGAGGTACTTGTATTTAAGGGTACTTTATCTGGTAAATTGATTATTAATTAAACAACAGATTAAAGAAACGCAAGTAAAATTTGAAAAGTATGTAGAAGATGGATAAAGCAGACGAGAAATAGAAGTTTTATTGATATTTGTTCAATTGAAATACTGACGATTAAAAACAGTGGAATAACAGGAAAAGTTTAAAAGTGGAAGAATTTCAATGACGCGATATAATATCACGTATGATATGGAATCTATTGATAAATTGAACGTTTAGAGTACAGTAATGTGTCGATATCGAATAATAAAGAAAGTCTTGTTAATCCTTTTTGTAATATGAATATCCAAGTGCATGGGACATTTCTAAAATCTGTGTTGTAACGTTGCGTAAATAATTGTTATTTTCGTTTCATTTTCGAAAAAGTTGTCGCAAGATTGGTGGAAAAAAAAATTTACACTCTTTTTATTTTTCAAACTTTCTTCTTCTAGCCTGTTGTTTTTAATCTGAATTTAAGAATCGAATTATTTTTTTCATTCAAAAAGGTTTCTCGATGTCCTTCTGTTTTTTTCTTCATCCAACATCTCGAGAAAGAATTACGTACGAACGGATTGAATTGAAAAAAAATTTTAAATCAGTTAAAGGTAGAAAAACAAATTGGGTTTCTATATTATCACTTTTTTCTCCACGATATGGTAATGGGGCGCTAAGCATTTGCTAATGCGCGACGTGTTTTTCAAACTTTTATGCAAGATATCGTGCAAGACGAGGAAAAGTGATAAAGGAATGATGGAAAAGGATGGGATAAGCCATTTTGTTTTTTTAAGGTTTATAAGATTTTAAGACAGACGTATAATTCTAGAGAATTTCGTGGCGTGGTATAATCTGAAATAATATCGAGGTTATAAAAGGTTGAAAATTTCTTTCTTTTGAAAGATGGTCAGAAATTAGTCATTTTAAAATCAACGTTAATGTTATTTACGAGCCAAATATAATTCGAGGCACATGTAAAATTTAAAAAAATTACGAAGAGACAAATGTTATATTATTTTTAAACATTTGCAATTTTTATTCGATCTTAACTTTTCCAAATTTTAAAAATCCTACAAGCGACTCGTATCATTGCTAATCACATTATTTCTAACATTCGAAATACGATATATTAATGATTCATGGACAAAACTGGTGCATAATATTAAACAACTTACTTATGACACGACGTTGTAATTTTAGAACAATAAATTTTCATTCGTATAATCCATATCTCTACAATCTCTCTTGAATTGCAGCAAACAGATGAAAACTTGTGACATTTTTCTTGCTCGAAAAATTGATAAAATTTCCCTGTTCGAAAAGTTTGTGTTTACCTCGTACTTTCGGTGAAATGCATCGAGATCGGTTAAAACGGTTAAAACGGATTATACGAAAATTTGGCGTACACGGATTAGAAGAGGTCAGCAGAAATTTCGCGTGGAAAAATCGATAGGTTGGACGGCGGCGGAAGGGTATTTCCAGAGTTACTGAAAAAAATGTCTACCACGAAACTTTTCTCGACACGATGAAAGTTGAGAAAAAATTTGGATATTTAAATATCCACATTTTGTTCCAGCAAGATGGATTCGTTTTTTTTCTTTTTCCTTTTTCTCAATATTTGTTCCATACATCCGCTAGCCACCTAAAACGAACTATCCTTGGTTCATCAGATTGAAACGAAGCGTCATGTTTCATTTGTCCATTACTTCTCATATACAATATGGAAGATAATACGTAATAACAAACGTATTATTATTTCATATAATCTCGATTAAATTGAATCACTCGATTAGTTAATATTTGAATTAACGATCAATAATATAAACGTAAATAAGTATACATAATTATATTGTAGCAATCTATATCCATAAAAGGAAAATCAATATAAATTTGTTCAAATTTGTTCTATATATTTTACGTAAACGTGTATACACGTCTCGTCACATTTTGTTAATATCGTGTATAATTTATATGAAATATTTCCGTCTATGAAAAATATCTCTAATTCGTGCGGTAAAATAATTACATATCCTAATGATATGTAATTTAAAGTAAGAAAAAAAAAGTTGGAATTAATCGGAAATTACGATCGCAGAGTAGATGGACAATTAATACACGGATAAATTTCGAGATTGTCAAATTCAAAAATTAATTTACGAATATTTCAATGGTTTCATAGTACCGTAAATATATAAAATAACGAACGAGAATAACGAGAAAAGTTGGAAAACTGGGACGCGATTGCACCGATTTTATCCTTTCTTTTATCAAGGAACCGAATTAGACGTTTCATTATTTCCAATGTTTTATCCAGAATCGATATCTGGCGCATACGAGCGGGTGTAAGTTTAATGAAACACCGTGAAAGAGAGTTTTACGACCGCGGTCGATCGCAAGTTGAATCGAGATACGTCGGGCGGGGTCAATCGAACTTCGACAACCGGATTACCCGGAAAAATCATAACCGCGCGAAGAATATCTTCGATTCAATCTCTTTCCCTTTGAAATAAAAAATCTTTCGATGAAAAAAAAAAGAAAACAATAATAATAATAATAATAATCTTTCGTTTACGAATTTTTTATTTTATTTCGTTCGTATGTTATTATGCGTGGAGCAAATCGCTGAAAAAAAAATTTATTATCTCACCCGAATCGACGGATACAACATTTCGTTCAACTTTGACAATTTGATCGATATTTGTATCTCGATGGATATTTTAATTAAAAACTTGAGAGCGGGTTAAAAGGAAAAGAGAGATCATCGATACACTCGATTAACTCGATTGTTAAAAATTCTAAACGAAAGATTTATCTCTTTTTTTCTCTTCTTTTTTTTTTTTTTTATCTTTCCAACCAACCAATTCTACCCCTTCCATAAAGGGATAATCCTGAATGAAATTGCCGACGCATTAAAGACAGATCCAATTTTTCTCAGATTTATCAAACGAGGGAAAAAACAAGTTCCTTTCTTCTCTTTTTCTTTTTTTTTTTAATCCGTAAAATAATCCCAACCACTGACCCATATTATTCACTCGTTAAAATTATTTCTGCTTCCATTCCTTGATATATACACATATATCTGTAACATGGCGAGAACGAAGTAGCAGCGGAGAATTTTGTTTTAATTTATATCCCCTGGTTGGGAAAAGCTCGCGAGGCAACCGATTCCCGGCAACAGAGAGCGTTAAATTTAACGGAAACTCGCAGCCGCGATAATTCGCCGCGAGGAACAGCTGTTCCTCGCGCTTTTTCCTTCCTGGCCTCGGACCAAACCCGATACATAAATCCCTTCCCCCCCCCCCCCTCTGTTAAAAGTCGTCCACCGCGGTGGTTGATTAAAAATTTCTCGCTAAATCGTCGAACGGGGGTCGTCAGGCGACGAACGAAAGAGAGAGAGAGAGAAATAGAGAACGAATATCTCTCCCCCCTCCCCATAGTTTGATGAAGAACTATCGAGCTGGAACGTTCCATCGTCCATGACACGATTCATCGAGGATTGCGTTCAATTTTGAGCCGCGATAAGTAACACGGAACCGTGAACAGATTGAATCGTTCTGGAAATGAAATCGTGGTGAGCGCGAAAAAAACGAGGAGAGGGCTGGAAAAAGGGTGAAAGAAGAACGAACGGAAGGAAGATAAAAAAAAAAATGTTTCTGTCCGGCATTTTGAGAGGCCTATCGAAAAAAATACAGTGAAACGACTGGGTTTCGCGTTGAAGAGGTTCGTTCGATTTCTTCGTCGATCCGTGCTCGCTCATTGTCCTTTTCGATTTGAAAGAATCGACGCTGCATCTCCGACAGACAATTCTCTTCCCGTGTTTCGACGAATTTAATCGATCCGCCTGTGTGTGTAATACGATCGCGAAAAAATCGATACGAGTTTTAGAAGAAGCGAGGGATCGTCACGTCACGAGACAATAAACGAGCTCTCTTCGTGCCAGATCGATGCTCGAACAATTAATGCTGGTTACACGTGGTTGGAAACTACGATTGCATTTTTCTCTTTTTTTTTTTTTTCCTCTTCTCTTTAAGCTTCTTCTTTACCATATTATACTCCTTTTCGTTGTTAACCGAGAGAAAAAGAAGAGAGAGAGAGAGAGATAGAGGGGGAGTAATTACTTTCGCTTTGATAGCTTTACGATCACCACATTTTTCTCCCTAATTAAGAGCGTGATTAATTTTCTCGAAGGGGGACTATACTAATCTTGCATAAAGATCTTAACGAGGGAATGTTTTTTATTTTTTTTTTTTTTTGCAGCTCGTTCGAGCGTGGAAACATGCAATCACCCGTGCCAATTGATAGTTGAATGTTATCTTATCTTTGAACTTGTTACCTTGATGGGCGAAAGAAATGTTTCGAGCTGGAGGAAAAAAATTCTAACGATCATTCATTGATGATTCATTTACACGTATAATAATTAATTCGAATCGTTTCCTTTTTCGATACCATTTGATATATCTACCCGTTATGTTATTAATTATCTTCGTTGAAATATTATTCTTGCTATTCATTTTATTCGATTTCTCGTATTTCGTATTTCGAGATCGTTCGTCCAATAATCCGACTATATTGCTCCAGCATGCCGGAATTGATATCTTCGCTGTTGCTTATACGTATAAAAATATGGACAAATTGATAAATAACGTAGACGTATAAGTAGACTATTAAAGAAAAACGGAATACATCGTTCAAGCAAGCGATACGATTAAAATTATGCAACAATTACGAGTGCTACCTCATTTTTTCCAACAGAGCAAGCTTTCTAGTTGTCTACTCGAATCACCAAGTGGTTTTAAAACAGGAGCCAGGACGAGTTACGATCTTTGAAACGTATCGAAAAGATATTATTAGTTACTCCGTTATATCTCGAAGATTATTAATCACAAAAGAGATGGAAGGACATCAACACACTTGGACACTTTCTTCCTCGAATATCCACAATTAACACGAATGATAAGGAGGCAACGACGAATCGAGATCGCTCGATAGAGGAAGAAACATGGGGGGAGGGAAAGGCGTGTGTTTGATTCAAAGCGTTCGAGGGAGGGAGCCTCTGGCGAGGTCTTTTCACCGGTTCTTTCCGGATGGAAACGAGGATTATTCGGGCTAGTCGAGCAGTCAAAAGGACAAGGCCCCGTGAAATATTTCAAAGCCGCATCATCCTTTGCGCGTAACGCGTCTGGGGAATCGACATGAAAATCCTTTGACTGTTAATTATGAAGGCTGAGACCACGTGCGTACGTGTATCTGAGATGGGATTTGTTCAATCTGTCGATGCCCACATTCGACATTCCCTCCGAGCATTCCTATTAATTAACGAGGACGTTGGAAAGGACGTTGTTAAACTATTGCTTAACGAAAAAAGTTAATCCGTTACAGCGTTATTAAACTTCGTTGATTATCAACTTCTCCCGTATCCTTAATTGATCACCTCGCGAGCAGAATAATCTCGCTTTAACTTTGCGAGATTCGTCGATTGTTTAATCATCCGTTGCAACAGAACAAATGTTTTCCAACATTTTTGGAAAACATAGTTGGAATAGCATCGAATCTGTACTTTTTTTTTTTATTTAGCAAAATGTACCAATTTTGTTTCGTATTGCTTTTAAATGTGTTTCTTCATCTTATTCAATTGCGTAAAGTTTGATGAGAATTGATCGGTTAGGATAAAAAGAATTTATATTATTACAGTTATTAACGAATGCCCATAATATATCATTATTAATATCTTGTTCACGTACAAATTGTAAGTCGTTTTTATTTCTATTATATCTCCATCTGTTGAGAATTTTCGTTACGAATAGATTGCAATGACAGAAAGAATTAATAAACGAATAATTAACTCGAATAATACAATTATCCTTTAAAAACGACGCGTTAAAGATAATTTAAATTTTCAATCATTATCTATCCTTGACTCGTAACATCTTAGAGAGAAACATTCAGACAGACAGACAGATATCATTTTCACCTCGATTTTTAGAGGGAGAAAGAAATCCTTTGGCTGGCTACGTGATCAATAGTTTAACGGAGGGGATTGGAAAGCGAGGAAAAATAAATAATAGAGGGTAATACGTTCGAGAAAGGTACGTTGAACTAATTAAACTGTTTGTCAGACACTTACCTCTCGATGGTCGACGGGGCCGACATGTAGGGAAGACAGATTTCGACCGACAGGAACTTTCAGGTTCCTCCATTCGTTCCTGACCTGTTGCTCCCCTTCAAGGCTGAAAAAAGGAAAAGTCGTCTGGTTAAATATAAAGCAACGCCATTCTCAACGAGCGCAAGTTAAAAATAAAGCTTGGGACAACCTGGGCAATTTCTGTCGCATCGATTCTCTTCCATTTCCTACAAATAAATCGCGTCTTCCAAATTTTGTAAAAATGTTTCACGGAGACAATAAGAGATGTTTGTGTTTTAATTAATCGCGTTTTAATTAAGATGATATTATATTCTTCCTGTTGCCTGGCAATTTATCATTCCAAATTGCAAAGCAGTTTCTTTCTCTTTCCGTTCCATTCGTTACGCAGAAGAATCATCCATAACGGATGACGGTGGATAAATCGAAAATGAAATGGTTTTCGATATTGTCACGCGCCACAGCTGATGAACTTGCCCGAATCGAGTGATTAATAGTCGTGGTTCTATTATACCGTGGTCCCGATTCCATTAAAAAATTTAGCGAAATTGCGGTGTAAAATTTTCACCTACCGGTGACCCAGCCTCCACGAAGATCGATAGAGATTGATTCTGTATTAATCAACAGAGAGGGAGAAATCGTGCTTCTCCATCCATTTCTTTTTTCGATCGCTTATTATCTTCTTCCACAGTAATTAAGGAAAAAATGTGATAAAAAGAAGAAGAAAAAAATCTCTCGTTCCAGATCTCTCGATAATTAATTCCAATCTTGTTACGATGGAAGGAAGCGAAGGATAAGGGCGCGAGTAAAGGACAGCTCCTCCTCCTCCTCCTCCTCCTCTCTATCTCTTTTTAGATTTGGAACACACTTCGAAAGAGAATGATCTCGCTATACTTTCTATTTAACCTTCTTCCTCCATGTTTTAATCTCGCTTCGAGATAAATGACGGTCGGCCGAGCTAAGAAAGACAAAACTTCGGGGGGAGGAGACACGTTATTCGCCCACCTTTTATTCTTCATCCTCGATGCGTTCCATCACGAAGAATCGAAGTAACCACGAGGAATCGTGCCTTCCATACATTCCATATATTCCCTGACACACAACAGTCGGTCCAGCATTGATTAAAACCTCTTCTCCCCCTCCCCTCGTTTTTATTCGCGCTGAAACAAGCTTCGACACAGTCTTGCGCCGATACATGCCTTTGTGCGTGGGCAGATACCGTAGGCATTACCAAGATTGGGCCACGAAGGAAATATTTCTTCCTTCCGTTTGCTCTCTCCTCCTCTCCCTTCTAAATCCTTTCAAGGAAAATTAACTGCAGGATCTTACGCGTTTCGCGAGTCAGGCCCGTATCATTATTCCAAGAGGAGGAAAACTTAAAACTCCTCTGTTCGTCTCGAGAAAAATGTAAATTGAACTTTTTCAACGAGATATATTAACAATCTCGATCGATGATATCTGCGTTAAAATTTGTTTAAAACTTGCTGCTCGACCAACCCAAGTTGTTTGAACTTGAAAATGAAAAGAGAGCGAGGGTAAGAAAGAAATTTCAGCGCACGTATAATACGTACTCCTTTCCATCCGCGAGAAAAAAATAACCGGAATTGCTGAGGGCTAGCGCGGTGCGGATTGTTAGCAACTGGGTCGAACCAATTACGTTCGTGACACGTAAACTTATGCTTTTGTAGCGGGAGGTGATTCGTGAGGCTGTAACGAATGACCTCTTCGCTCGCGGGAAAACAGAGAAACGACGAGGAGGAACACGCATCTGGGAACGGATGGAGTATAAGGCGGAGAGTTATCGGAAAATACAGTGAGAGTGGTTGCTTCTTTTGTTCCCTTGCTTAAGTTCTTTCAAGTTTCGAAACAAATCTTTTGCGAAGCGAGATGCTTGTTCCAAGTCGAGAGATTGCCTCGTTTCCCCCGTCGATACGTTGATTTAAGGCTTCGTTGCGCTGCATCCGTCAGACGTGCAGCCCTCGTAGAACCTGTCCCTCGTTTTTCAAAGCTCCCTCCTTCGAAAATTCTTCTTCTCGGTTGCCCTCTCCAACGTTTCAACGAGACGCAAGGTGTGAGTGACGCGACGAGTGAGACAAGTGACAAGCGAGATTTCCCGTAAATTAACCCGTCCCGAAGCGCAATTTACTCCCTTTAAACAAGGGCGGCAATAAGGAAGAACTTTAATTAACTGCTAGTTGTTGATAACTGGAGAGGTATCTCGCCCCTCTCCGTATTAGGGATTGATACGAATCGCGTTCAACAAACCAGGGAGAAGAAAAGGAAAAAGAAAGAAGAGTTAATAGTTCTTCCTCGTCGTTTCCATTCCCTTTTTTTTTTTTTCCCCTCCATTGCAGAGGAGAGAGTTGAAATGAGAGTGATCTCTCATCGGGTAAATTCGATAAGGAGGAGATGTTGCGTCACTTACGGGAATCTTAGCTCGTTGCAGCTTCCATCCGTGTGCGCGAGAGCGGGAAGGCTAGTGGCCTCGAACGGTGGATTACTTAAATCTGCAAAAAGAGAAATGCAAAAATGTTTTGTCAGGCGGAGAAGGCTTCGTCGAGAAATTTATTTCCAGAGGGGAAATAAAAAATTGGAACGCTTGTTGTCGCTCGCTTTTCATCAAACGTCGAGTTCGAGTCGAAGCGCGACACGCAAAAGTTGAACATTACCTATGGTCGAGTCGTAATGGTCGCTGTGTCGTCCATAAGGGGCAGTTCGCTTGAGCAGTTCGGTCACTCGTCTTCTCGGGCTTCTCGTCTGCTGAAACGTGCAATTTTCATTGATTCCTTCGAAAATGAGATGCGAAATTCGCGAATAACGATATTGGTGTGAATGTAAATCGATAAATGTTGCGAATTGAACGAGTTTAATTATTAGTATTAAGTATTTGGTATCAGAATTTTGTGTCGATATCGAAAATTGTTTTTCGAAACGAATTTCGTCCATTTTTTCCCAGATAAGGGGATCGAGAGGGAAAGGTGAGAGCTCCGCCAAAGTTGATCTCGGTTTCGACAAAAGATGTACGGCGAGACAGGACAAGAGGGATTCTTCTGTTTCGTGCAAGAATAGAATCCCGTGGCGGGATTTAACGCCGCCTCTTCTATTTACATCGATCTGACGATCTTTTTCTAGCGTGGTCAAAGAGGATATTTCTTTCTCCCGTATCGTGCCTGCCCGGATATTTTCATCCCCTTAATGCGCCACCCACGTTTGGACGCGATTACACGTGACGAATCAAAGTTTATAGGTTTCGACCGATTCCTTTTCTTAATGGAAGGGGATCGTGGTATTAAAAGAAGTAAGGAAAGAAGGAGGGAAGGACATGAAAGAACGTAAAGAATCTTGGATTAATCCACGATCCAAATATTTACTCGAGAGGTTGGCCGCGAAGCGAGGGCAAAATTATTGATCAAGTTTCCACCGCGAACGTGGAGAGAACGTTGTTTGGCGTTAAGCTTGGTTCACATTTGTTCCAGCTTCGTTCGAATTTATATTTATACCGATTAAAAACACGTGCGGTGATGTTGAAGACGATTCAAATTTAATTCCTCGTGCTGTTTGATTTAAATGTTAGATATTGGATACCGATATTTACTTTGGAAAAGATTCTGATTGAATTACAAAAAAAAAGCAGAAGTGAGATTTCACATCTTTAGAATGTTTGAATTTTTAAAATTATTTCGAAATTATGGAATTATTGTTAAGAAAAAAAAAGAAGAAAAAAAGAAAGGGACGAATCGTCGTCTTAAAAGTAATAAAAAGTAATTTTATTAAGCTCGAGATGAGCAATCTTTCTAGTGTTTCATTGGACGTTAATTTATATTCCGATAAATCAAGTTTTATTAACACGACTAACTAGTCTCACTCGATCGAATCGACGAATGAATGTATTATCTATCATTGTTCGGTAAATAAAACTTGTTCGGAACGGATGAAATTTCGATAAGATATTAATTAAGTATCGAACACGTTTCGAAAAGTCTGTATAATATCGTATGAGACATTACGATTTGAAAAATTTGGTTACGAAGAGTTGCGCCGTTTTATTTTCCACTTTGATCAACTCCCTTTGACTCCAAATCATCAACACAATGGGACAATGAATAGTTTAAAATCGTGATGCGCAACAATTTGACGCGAAAAATAACGAGTTGATCGAATTTCTATATACGTGTCAAACGAACTTGGCCAACAGATCAGATCACGATCGAGCGAGTTTTCCTTTGATATAGAAATGAAATGGTTGACAAATTAGAAGGGGAAATTTTCGTAATCCCGACAACGAGTCGCGATTAATCACGTTTTTTATATCCTTGTTTCTTCGAACGAAACAGCGAATAGAACTATTAAAAATTAGAGGCACGGTTAACGTAATTCCCTTCATCATGTTCCATCAGCGTTTCCCCCATTGGATTTTACATTAAATACAAATGCAAACCAATCTTCCGCAGCTAACCTCCTCCAATGACTCGATTTCCATTTCAAATTCATTTAAAATCCCATTCAAATTCGATGGGGACGCTCATTAGATCTCAATTGCGGGGATGAACGTTACATAACGAGTGCGCCGCTGGCTGGTGAGATCGATGAAAGGAAATAAATTTGTCTCGATAAAAAAAATGCTATCTCTCTGCTAAATCCTATCCATCCACGCTTGTTAATCCTCTCGAGCAGGACACGAATTCATTCGATCAATGTAAACACGATCGATTTACCGATACAGCGTATGCGTCGCCTCGGACCCGATCGATAAGTTTGTTTCTCTTTCTAGAATTTCTCTTACGAGAATGATCCTTACGAAAGTAGTGTCGATGAGGCTTTGCGTCCTGATGACTTGAACCTTCGGTGAGAACAGCCGTTTCTCGATCGTTGGACTGTTTTCTGACGGGCTGTCGTCATACTCGTCCAGACATTCATCCTCCGCCAACGACACCAAACTGTTGTACCAATACGCGCCGCTCACCCTGTGAGGCTTCGACGGCTCCTGGAGACGGTTCAAGTCCTTGCTGAAACTTAGGCTGCGCCTAATCGGTTGCAGGCTGCGATTTATCACGGCCGGTAACTCCGCCGCGCTCCCTCTCAACAGCAACCCGATTTTCCGACGGAACGATTTTCGCTCGATTTTCCCGCCCACCTTCCCCGTATCCCCCTCCGTCCCGCATTTCGCATCTTCGCCGTAGAGGTCGTTGTCGTAGCCCGCTAGATCCTCGTACCAATTCTCTGAAACACGGGAATATTTTTTTTCTTTTTTTTTTTTTTAAAGAATATTATTACACCCAATAAAAGTAGACAATAATAAGAGTTAGGAAAGGATAGAAAGTTTTTTATAAATCATTTTCCATCGTTTTCGAGTTGGACGCAATACCTGCTTGCACTTTCGGCTCACTTTTCTTCGCACTTTGTTGCTTCGCCGTCTTCGCGCTCCGAGCGGACGCCTTCTCGCCGCTCTTCTTCGATTTCTTCGAAGAAGCCCTCTTCTCGTCCTTCTTCAACGTTGTCATCGCGCCAATCTCTCTCTTTCTCCCTCGCCTGACACTCGAATGGAACGTCCGTCCGCTCGAAATATTCTTCTCAAACGGACGAATTGGCCGCGTTTCGCCGCCCGTAAGGATTCGTCGAATTGGCCCGGCCTCATCGAGCCTCGAACGAACGAGTTAAGCGGTGCTTCTCGCCGATCCCTCGATTATTCCAAATTTCTCCGTGGGCTGACCTGTCACATCGGCGATGCGATCAATAGAACGGTATTATACGGCTGTGCGAGTTGATCGTCCAATTGTTGCCCGTGAAACATCGTTCCATTAATTGGACGGCGTTTATATTGTTCCGTTCCCGGTGTCGATCGAGTAAATCGTCGGCAAACAATGTCCCAACTTTCGTGGCAAATGGCCTGTTCCGTCGCCTCCTCCCCCCCCTCCCCCCTCCCCTCCTCCCTCCCTCCCTTTTCCGCCGGTTTATTCGTCCGTCTCTTTCTCGGGCTTGCTCGCCCTTGAATCATGCCATTCGACGAATGGCAAGTGGAAATTTAACGCTGAAATCATCGATCGGTGAAACGTGGCTGGATACACGATCGAAATGGTACAGAGATGTACATGAGATTCGTTTGAGCGATTTGAGTGATTTCTTTTTTTTTTTCTTTTTTTTTGGTTATCGATAATTAAAGGCGCGAAGAAATTTTCAAGAGGCGAAGTACATATTATTACACGATCTCGAAAATTAATATCAATCGTTTCTTATTATATTCTCTGTCCAAGTGGAATGAAATTAGGATAAATTTGAGAGATGGTGATCAAATATCGAATTTTATATTGGCGATCTCTAATTGGATTATATAAGATGGAATTATTTGATTTGAAGATATTCCGTTAAAGATATGGTCGATCGCTAGATAAGGGGATATTTTTATCAATAGTAGTTACTGGTTCGATGATTAGCCAATTGTGGATTTTATAATCAAGCTAGATCAGAGTTTTTAATACAGAAGAGATTAATGAGTTCCATTAACGGATCGTGTCGTATTAATCACGCAATTATCGCTGACCCTATTTCTATATCAATAAATCCATAATTAATTAACGAAACACTTTCTTTCATTATCCTTCCTTTTTATTTACACACACGCGCGCGCACTTAAATATCGAGCCTTATGCGTGCACAAATGCAAGAGTTGCATTTATTTCTCTCTCCTTTCCCTATTGTCGTTGAATTTTCCCCAGTTATTCCCGGCCACGGTCGTTGCAGTTAGAAACGCACTTAACCGTTTTCCAGCTATCAGCGTATTTTTTCTTATCGCGTTTTCTTCCTTATCATCGTCACATAAATTAACCGTATCGAACTTATCAGCTCGGATCGTGTTTTTTCCGTCTCCACTCGGAAAAATTTCGCGAGTTCTTTTCGATCAAAAATTAATTCTAATTTCATTATCCGATCCTGGAATTGAACGAATCTCGTTACAAACGAGTTCCCAAATTTCTCGATCCTCCTCCCAATGATCGATCCAATTTAAATCAAGAGAGAGATTAAAAAAGTTATAATCGAGGAAGGGAACAAATTTTCAAAGAATAATGTGTGGAACAATGAGGATACAGTACAGGTTGTTTTCGTCACCCAAGCAATTAACGTAAAGGTGATGGCGTGTTATCATCGATTCACGAGGATATGTCACGAGTAATAACATGTTTGCGCGTCGATATATCACCGTAAAAATGCAACGCTTAACCAACGATTAACGCCCCGTGCTTCGAGCACGAAAGCGTGCGCGGCTTCAAGTGCCGATATAATTCTTTTTCCTCCCGTTACATGCGACCGACGTAAAAAAGAAAGAAAAAAAAAAAAAAAAAAAAAAGAAAGAAGAAATAAAGAAGGCGCGCTATCTTCCGCGAAGGAGGGAAATCGTTGATTAAAAAAGCGATAAGCGACGACGAGTCGGTTAAAAATAGACGCGCGGCGATGTATATAAATCGTGTAGGAGGTGAGGAAGGGAGGGAGGGAGGGAGATCGACGAAACTCTGTATCGAGCACGCGGTTCCCGCGGTGTTTAAGGCTGGCCTTAAAATTTGCACCGCACGGTTAAATCGATGCACCACGTAACGCGTTGCCACGTTCGTGAATGCACCGATAAGGTTGCTCAAGGTGGCGCAAAGTTCATTAGATTAGAGACTGGTAAATGGAAACTTGGCAATCGGTGGATCGAGTGGAATTTTTTCCCGACCAATATCGCGATCGTATCGAATTTCAAATCCCCGATTTAACTTCTTCCCAACTCAATCTCTCTCTCTCTCTCTCTCCTCCAATCATCGAGAAGATTTATCTTGCACGGAAGATATAATATTGTATTGTTTGAAAAAGAAGAAGATGATAGTGAAAATTTATTACACCGATCCGCGCCTGTCCAATATTTAGAACGTCGTCGATACGAAACGAAATTACGAAGGAACTGGTTCGCACAGATTTCTGGCGATCTCGAAACCGTGGTAAACCACTCGGAACTCACAAGCATACAGCTGTGTGTACTCACTGATCACCATGATGGGAGTACACCACCATTCCAACGAATAAAATAAACCGAATCGTGCGTATACGCAAATATGCGCTGAACAAGTTCGTTGAACCCGTTAACGCGTCGATTAATAAATTCCTGGCGCGGATCGTTCGCGCTTCACCACGATTACACCGCGTTCTCTCGCGCACACGGTTTAAAAATTGACTGCGGCACAACCGAACCGATTAATTCGACTCGATAATAATCCCGCTCGCGTAGTAAACAAAGGAATTAAAAAATCAGGTAGTCGTTGGAATCCATCCGCTTATCGAGCACGGCACATCATCGTCGCGCCTTATCGCCGCGATAACTGCGATCCCATGCGCCAATTTCTACCGTGTGCCCCGATATCCGCGATAAAAGGGATCCACGCGCGAGAGGAGGATATCTTCGTTTCTTTGAATGCCTCGCGACGTGTGCAATGTGCACGCGTAATGCGGGAAAATCAGACAGATTTTATCTCGTCGGGTTGAGAAATTAGGGAAACAGGTAAGAGATGTGGTGGTACTCGATTTACTTCGATTTCACGATTTACAGTCGACTTCTATGTTTTCTTGCATAACGGTTACGCTATTTTTTTAAATGTTAGCAACATTTTGCTATAAAAATTTTTCGAATGCTCGCACGATAATTGGCAAGGAGAAAACTGATTTGGCTTCGTAGATCTAATGTCGAGTAAGAGTATGGTATAAAGATGAATTTGGTACGTGAGATTGTTAATACGTATTTCCTTTGAATTATATTGGTATCAGATTATATTGTGAAGCGTGCAACCTCTCGTTAACAATAGGATCTCATCTCGCAATGCGATTTAATGAAGTCCGCAATAAAGGAAAACTTAAAAGATCATACAGAAATTACTTACTACATTTTTCTTAAAATATCCGAAATTCAATGATTCCTGTGATTATGATTAATGATAATAATAGTACAAAATTTTAAATTGTAAAAATTGTAATAAATTATGCTTGATACGATAATCATGATCAGAAATCATTATTAATTATTTCTTTCCTTCAAAATGCTTTCAAAAAAGTTTGCATCTAAAATGAAATTTCTTTCGCATATCTGCACGAAACAATTTCAAGGTAAATACAGAATAATAATAATTAGCAAAAATGAAATGAGATTTTCTCGGATGACGAGACTGAGCCAGGAAGTTTGTATATAACCTGACACGTTGCAATACGAAACCTAGAACACCGTTAATGTCCGCATTTCAAATACCCGCCACGTTAATGTCTGAAATGCGTTATAAAAAGTTCTGGAACTAGCGTGGCCATAAAACGAGCATGTTGCCGTTTTATCGGCGAAGGGAGGGAAATCTGCTGGCATATTCGATATTCGAGAGCCGTGAAATGACTTTTGTCGAGGTAGCATTTTACGATCAGACGAAACGCAGGAATTGATATTTTATGGATATATAACGTGTTGCATAAAAAAATGCTAATTGACATTAAACTGTTCGATTGTAACGATTTAACCTCACTCTTTGTACAACGAATGAATTTAAAATCTGTCTTTTCTTCCAAAGTTAAATTTTGTTTCCAGGAAAAAAAAAAAGAAGAAGAAGAAATGGTCAATAACGAATCTCACGTTCACGATTGAAAACCTTATCGAATATATGTTGGCACATTCGTATTGTTATAGCCAATAACAAATTTTTACGAGTATTGAAGGAGTCACAGTACATTTCTATACACATATGTATATGTGTATACACGTCATTACAAAATGTAATAAAGTTCACGAGATAGTTCCTGCGAGAGAACTGAACCAGCTGTTCCTCGAACTTCAGAAACGCATCCTCCCTTGGCACACGTGTGAAAATGTCGATAAGGATTGTCTATTTCTAGGCCGTGTAAGTAAGCAGATCGATACCGTGTCCTCTAAAGCAGATTGTCGAATTCTTGAACGTTCTTCCTCCTTGAAGGATTTCACGAACTTTTTGTCACATCTTACCGTGTAATATTTCTTCTTCGAGTCGAACGAGTGAATTATATCGACTACTAAGCTAAATAAGTTTCGTCGTTTCCTTGACATCCTTAGTTAGGGGACTTGCTCAGGTGTCCATCCGAAGAATCGTCGCACTAATCGCCGTTTCTCTAGAGTGTTTGCAAGAATCGATAAAACGTTTAACCTAAATCTATTCCATTTGTTATCCAAGCTGATTTCGCAACACTGATTCCGTTTCTCCATTATTCCATCCCATTTCTTTGCGATGGTTCTACTATCTCTCTCTCTCTCTCTCTTTCTCTCTCTCTTTCTCGAGTTCATAGGTTAAATAGGAAAAAGTTATATAAGTAATATTGGCTTGATTCTATTCTATAAGATCTATAAGTGATTTAAATCTAACGCGTTCAAATTGATCGACGAGAGAAATTTTAAGCGTCGCGGTAAAAATGCATTAAAAGAGGAAAGGGCAAATTGGCGGCATTGTGCACGGTCGCATAGTGAATGGTGGCACACGAACGTGGCGCGATTCAACCGGCGTCTTTATTAAGTCAACAACCTAGCTTTAGAAATCCGCTGCATTTCGCAGAACAGAATTAAACCCGAAGCGCGATATTCAATGTGATTGCCACTACGTGGAGAAATATTAATTGGAACGACGCTGTTATTGCGTCGGAAATAATTTGTAATTAACAATAGGTAGAATTTGCATTAAACAATAGGTATTCGTTGAGGCGACACTTACGGGAGGCGAGAAACAGCAATCATCGGGATCTAGTCTCCTTGAAATTGTGGATCATCCGACCAATCGATATATATATACTGTACCATTAATGCCGTTAATCTTGATGACTTTGAAAATCTGGTTAATAAAAATCAATCATAAATGTATTATTTATTATTTAATTATTAATCTGTTAAAAATAAATATTTCATAAGAAAATTGCACTAACTTTTTCTTTCATAACGTAAAGTTATATTGAAGTTCCATTATATTCGTTCCGTATGTATTCCATTTACTGAAATTCCAAACAAAATTATCACTAAATATATTTAATTATAAAGGTATCTAATCGCAAAACAGAGAAATCACTATAAATATACCATTTTTAATATTTCGAGATTACGAGAGAGCTTTGTCGTTCAATTTGCCACGAAGCTATTTTTGTATCGAAGAGGCTAGATGCTATAACACCTGACACAGGGTGGTACATTCATCCCCACTAACACATTAATTCACTCCGTTATCCTCAGCAACACGATTCAAACCTAAATTAGATTTTTGCCATTTTAATTCATTAATTTTGTTTAATTTTCTGAATTAAATGATGAAGACACTTACGAAGAATTTCAAATAAAAATACTTCTAATACGAATTTCATATATACAACAACAAGAAATATTTCTTTGTTCCGAAACAATGATTTTACGAGATAAAAATCTACTTTAGTAATAATTTAAAACTCACCTGTCATACTTTCTTGTCATACTCTTCAAATATTAATTCAATGATCGTTATTTTTTTCTATTTCTAATCTTCAATTTCGAAACGAACCTTTCGAATATCACTGAAAATTATTATATTCGTAAATACAAATTATACAAATATTTTAAATTCCACATATTTTAAAATCACATTTGAATTGTCAGAAGATAAGAAAATATAATGGCGGAAAGTTTTGGCGCAAAGTGCAAGAAGCGCAACGAATATTTGAATAACATCGATACGTTGAATATTATTTTAAGTAAAGTCATCTATAATTATCGCGTGTGTTATACACGATACAGTAGATTGTATACGTTTCAAGATGAAATTGAAATAATTCAAATGATCAATTAAATATTATTACAAATATTATAAATACCTGATTTGAAGAGACGTGAAAGAATAGGAACTGCGATGAACGTTCTTTCGTCTTCCAACTATTCCTGTTTTCATGTAGTTAGAACTCCAATGGTGGCGCTACGCTCACTTTCGTTAATGGAAACGCTGCTGCATGTAAGTTGTGACACCTCGCGGCCACCGTTAGTGGAGATGTAATATTTTCCGGTAAAGTAGTTTGGTAGTTTCGTAAAAAATTAAGTGAACGAAAAGTACGTAGAAAATGTAAATTTGCATTAACTTAATCTTCGGCTACATTAATCTATGGCTTAAATCGCTGCTTTGAGCGCGATAAATTTTCGCGAATTGTGTCTATAATCGTCGTGTATATTACATACATAGTAACATACATATATTGCAATAGGGCGCCTCGAAGTGTATTAAAACATTGATCGGTGCAGTGAAAGTGGTAAAAAATAACGAAATCTAATCATTTTTCCATCATGTAGTCAATGCATTGTACTCAATAGTCTTTTAAGTTCACATTGCTAACCAATGTCTTGTGTTATACACTCACAAGGTTAAAGTGCGTTGATTCATAATTGTTGTTTTCCTCTGGAATTAGTAGAAAAAAATGAGTGGGGATATGTTTGACGGAAAAGATTATCCAACCCAATGGGCATTAAATCCTTCAGCTTATCAAAATATGAGTAATGATCAAGGTAAATGGTATAAAAAGTATTTCAGCATTGCGATTCATTTTTTACCATGATTGTGTAACATTTATTTGTCATGTAAAACTTTCGACCACCATTCAGTTGATTGGGCAGCATTAGCTCAACAATGGATCAAAATGAAAGAAACTGTAGTTCCACCGGCACCACCTCCACCTACTATTAATCCTATATGCTCTGGGAACGATGGTAGCGGAGAGGCACCAATGGATATGGACACAAAAGAAGACGACGTACCACCTGCGCCACCTGCACCAACAATTAGTGGATCAGGTAGTATGAGGAAATTAGAGATCCAATAAAAATTAATAAACAATAAATAAGTAAATTCTAATAAATTTTTATATATTTACAGTTGAATGAATGCATTAAAAATGATTATTCTAATTTTTGTAATCGATTCATCGTAACATTATAGTGTATTTATTATGTAAATAATATTATTCAAATATTGTTCAATTAAAGAAAAATAATACTTGCATATTTTGATTTTTTGTTTTATTTACAACTATAATTTGTAGACTTATTTAATGGTGATTTAAACTATATCTGAAATATATATCCTTCATGATATATCTTGTTTAATACCAGCCGAAGCATGGAATCAGTGGAATCAGTGGGGCCATTGGAATACTTCAGGTTCTGGTGCAGGTACATGGGAATGGACTGGTGTACCTCCCCCAGGTGTTTCTATAGGTTCTGATGGAAAACCTATGGGAATTCCAACAGTGCCTGTTATTCCACCTGCTCCAACTATATCTACAACATCAGAATTTAGCGTGCCACCACCAGCAACACCATCTTTGTATTCTTATAATTCAGTACCTCCGACACAACCTTATAGTCAGGTTAAAATTGTATTTCTAATATAACATAGAGCACCAAAAAACTTCCTATATTTTTCCCTTTTATTTAGACTTAGTGGAACAGAATTGTGTATAAAATTATGATATTATTTTTTTTTCTTAAAAAAAGGTGTATTGTAAAATTTAAAAAAGAGAAAATATTGTTTGATATTTGACTGTAGTTTGAATTATTGAATTGAACTTACAATTTGATTTCTACTCATTTTCCTTAATTAAATCAATTAAAAAAAAAAAAAAATACATAAAATATCGTACGATAGAGAGATTTATATGATTAAAAAAAGGATTGATATTTTGAAACGGTATAAAGATTAGACTGGATTAGAGATTAAAGATAATAAGTATCTCGTATTTAGGTGACTAATTATTGGTCTGGAGAACCGCCTACTGCTATACCTCCTCAACCACCTCCTTTTATGAAAGGAATCAGACATGCGAATAGAGCACCGCATATGAGACCAATGGATACCGTAAGATGTCGAGAAGATAGGGAAAAGACACCTGAGGAGGATACAACGACAACCATAGGTAAGTACGAAAGAGTACATAGTTCTTATTCTAAGAACTATGACCGAAAAGTACTAATACTTTTTATATTATAACATGGATAATAATGCAATGTAATGTAATGTAATCATATTATGATTATTGTTAATTACAAAGACATGCAATGATTCATAATATTATTATAATTTGACATTAATCCGATCATAATCATCACTTTAACACAATTAATTGTATTAATCTGTATTGTATAATTTTAAATTTTCTCCTCCACCGTGTTTGTCAAATAACATTTACGATAACATCTTGCTAGCCCGTGATTAAATGTACATACGATGAGGATATTTTTACTTTAGACGCGGCAAAACGTAGACAATTGCCAGCATGGATTAGGGAGGGTTTAGAAAAAATGGAAAAAGAAAAACAGAAAGCTGTTGAAAGGGAAAGGCAAGAGATACTAAGGAAACAAGAGTTAGAAGCCCGAAAGCAAGCCGAGGATGAAGCTCGGGCTGTACTGAATCCTTGTAAAAGCAAATTTGTAGGTGTCCAAATGCATGCATTAATTGCGTGCTTCGCAAATAAAGCTACGTTAAATGATCCTGGAAAACGCTCGTTTATTTCATTTCTCGTTACTTTTTTGAAACGCAGGATTCTGATTCCGAGAAGGAAATTGAACAAGATGTTGATGATGGGATACATAATCAGCAGGTGACTGAAAAAAATTTCGAACGTACCCCGGACATTCTTCTTCGTCCACGGAAATCACGATTTCGAGACGCGGATTCACCGGATCCACATACTCACGCGGATAGAAGTCCAACCACGTCCAACGCGACCATACCTACGCCGAAACGGACGAGAGAAGAGATACTGCAGGATGTGGTGAATATTATCCCGATCAAATTTATCCCGTTAATCGCAGATTTTACCATATTACGAAGATTTGCTTCGGTATAGATGTTAAAGGTGCGGAGATCGTTGACCGAAATCCTTCTGGAGGTAACGAACGAAGAAATCGGTGCTATATGCAGAGAGGTTTGGAGCCGCGCACGTGCCAAAGGTACCCCAGATACACACGATACAACTAACAAATTGATATTTCATATTTCGCTCACCAGTGCACAGAATCTGATTCATACGAGTCTTGTGCAGTGTTGCGGTGAATTTTATTTGCCCATTTGTGTAATATAAGCTTTTAAACATTAAACAAAGATTGTTCAATTCATAGAGTTAATTATTCGATGATTTCAGGATATCCTACTTTATTTTTCCAGGATTTTGTATACACGTACCATAAGTGATATTATTTTTTTTTCTCTCTAAGTAGTATATTATATACGTATATATATATATAAAAAAAAAAAAAAAAAAAAAAAAAGAAAAAAAAACAACCATATCACCCAGTTTTATCATAACTAAACTTTCAATTTTTACACAATCAGTTTGATTAATTGTTTTTTATCGAATCGTTTTTTTTATTATTTATCAAAAATTTAAAAGTTATAATATTAAATATTCACAGGATAAATCGTTCGTGAAAAAAGGAAGAAAAACTGGCGAAAAAAATATGATAAGATTCGATATTTTTCGACATTTAAGAAAGAGAAAGAGAAAAAACGCGTAAAGGGCAAATATCTTTATCTTGGCAAATTTTTATATCCGCTCCTCGATCCGATTTAATTAATTGTTGATCAATCGGATCAATTCGTAATTATTACGAAAACGCGACTACTATCTTATTGAAGATATGAGAGAATCACGTAAAATTAATTTTATTTTTCTCTTCAACATACGTTTGTACTTGCTTATATATATATCGTAGTTATCAGATAATATTTTAACATTTAACAAAACGGTCCTACCCATATATCTGTTTTCATTGATAATCTCATTCACATTCTTACCTCTTACGGCTCTGCACGTAAACTGATCGTTGATATGATTCCTCTACTAACGTCACATTACCAAAAGAAATTTCAGTTTCGTACAATATCTAAAAGGATTGCTATTAAAGATTTCTTAAGGTATATGAGGATTGATGGCAGGATCGACTCTCCTTGTGATATCGGTGATCAGTACCATTTAATTTTGGGGGGTATCCTGATGATAGCACTTAGCCATTGGTACTAAATGCGTGTGTATTGTAAGTCCCTGCAGGAGAGATCCCCGTCGCATCCCTCAACAACATGGCCCCTCTTGCTCAGATCACTCGCAAACTTGGTAAGTTTCTAAGTTATTGTAATCTTCAACGCACGGTCATCCTAGGAACCGGTCGTGTATACGCAGTTGTTTCTATAAAATAAATAAATAAATAAATAAATAAATATGAATGAATAAAAATAAAAAAAAAATAAATAAAAAAATGCGTTCGTGCATTGTACCACTCTTTGTAGCCATGCTCGCTTATAAGTTCTCTCGTGAAAACGAAGATGTCTTTCAGGACATTTTTCAATTGTAGCGGCAGCATATTTAATGGTCGAGCGTATGTCTCTTTGTTATGACGAAAAAAAAACGTTATATTATTATAAAGGCGGAACAAGAATAATATATTTTTTGTGTCGTATAGGTCTGGGCATCTATGGCGACAGCAACAGCGAATCTGAGGAGGAGCAAAATGAACACGTACAGACACAGAACAACGATAGCGATGAAGAACTCATAGTATGTTACATATATATATATATTTTTTCCTTCCTTTTCTTGAAAATAAGAGAACAGAGTTTAATAAGCTCATCAATAATAATTAAGAGAAGAGAGAAAAGAAACGTTTACGTTATTATTTGATGATCTTTTATTGCGTTAGGAAATGGTGAAACGGCGGCAACAAGCGTTCAAAAAGACGGAGGAGGAAATCGAGGCGCGTTTGGCCGAGGAGGATGAGAGGGAAGAGCAACGTTACGACGAGCAGTATAATAAACAACAGGAAAATCATACTGGTAATACAAGCTGCAAAGACTCAGGTATGTTTCGAAATATAATAAAACTAAGTCGTTATTACATGATTAAGCGTAACTCCGTAACATCACTACTTTAGTTGATGAAAAAGAAACGGTAAATAATCAAAGAGAAGCGTCTGAAACTTTGTCGAGCGGCGGACAAAGTCCACAGCAACAAATAGCGCCGCCTGATATGGCAAAGACCAATACTCCATCGGGATCAGCCGATTCCGAATCTAGCAGTTCCGAGACTACCACCTCTTCCTCGAGTCATAACTCGGTGAAGAAGAAACGATCGAACAAAGACCGCGATCGTGAATATCGAAAGAGGAAGTCAAAGAGTAGAAGTAAATCCAGAGGCAGAAAGTCTCGGTCCCGTTCTTCCGAGCGTGGACACAAACGCAAATCCAGATCTAGATCGCTAAAGTCTCGTAAAGAGTATCGTTCAAGGTCTTCGAGCAATTATAGGTCCAGTAAGAAGCATAGATCGAGATCGAGAAATCGAAAACGGCGTAGATCTCGCTCGAGGAGCTGTCGTAGATCTAGATCCAGCTCGGCCACCAGGAAATGGTCGCGATCGCGTTCCAGGGGAAAAAGGAAATCGCGCTCTCATTCGAGAGGCAGAAGAAGAAGTCGATCCTATTCTACTAGACGGAGTAAATCCCGTGCGAGGGATAAACGACGATCACGATCCAGATCCAGGGCTAGAGACAGATCTCGAACACGCTCCAAGGAACGTAAACGTTCGCAATCTTACGTTTCCAGGAGTAAAAGACGGACACGATCTAGATCTAGGGATCATAGAAAATCACGATCGAGATCAAGGCAGTCGAATCATCGGGACGGTAAGAAATCGTCGTCGCATCGGTACAGGAATTGAACCTGACCAACTTCTAGCCAAGGTTGTATATACATATTCATAATTAAGTAAGATTTTCGAGATATTCGTACGAATTAAAAAAAAGAAAAAGAAAAAAAAAAAAAGAAAAAAAAGGAATTTAAAAAAAGAGAAGATAAAAGATAAAGACACATCTTTTGTCCATGATAGATAATGTTAAAAAAAAAAAAAAAAAAAAAAGAAAAAAAAATATTATCGGAAATGTAAAGATTTTCAATTGTGATTGTCCATTTTTGAAATTTCTCAGCTACGCGCGCGTTGTAGTGATATCGAATATCGATTAGGTCACTTCTTCCCAGTTTTATTAAGCTCATTCGAAGAGTACATTATCTTTAACTATATATATATATAGAATACCCTCCGGACAGTTTGTAATTATTTCGCTCTCACATCAGTCAGATTTTTAACTGTAGCGTTATTTCAATATATAAAGAGAAATTAATTATATATCCTTTTTTTTTCTTTTTTTTTTTCTTCTTCTTCTTCTTCTTCTTCTTCTGTATTTAATCCTATTCCCACACAATTCATTACTATGGAAAGTAACTCAGACACTCATGTATGTCAGCGAACATTTTTTTCATTCACGATTCCGATATCATTATTTTGTAATGATGTATCCATTTTATACAAACAAATATTAGCCTGCATTTCGTGAGATCGTATAGATTAGCGCGAACTTCCGTCTAAAACATGTCGGACGTCGATTTATTTCATACGAGTAATAAATATCGAATCGTTATTAATATTCTCGTACTAAGCTTGATTGCATCGTACACTGCATACTATACTATATGAAACTAATTCAGGTGCAAACGAGTTTCAAATACCGATACATTCGAGAATAAATACGCGTAGATATCACGACCCTTCGAATCTTTCCTTGTTTCCTTAGAATCGCGAGTCTTCATTTATGTATCGAGTGGCATTTGTTAATCTCGAATCAGTGAAAGAGTAAACTGTTAAAACTTTAAAAATCGCGATGCATATATACTGTTGATTCAGTTACATGTATTGATACACGTTCGACATACGTTAAACCGATGATTTCAATGTATTGTAAGTACGGGCCTTACATACATATTGCTATGATAAGTGTAACGAGTCATTTTTAATTGAAATAATAAAACAAAAAAAAAAAAAAAAAAAGAAAAAAGAAAAGAAAGAGAAAGAAAAGAAATATACCTGAAAAAAAAAATGGAAATATTCTCACCTGTGTAAAATTTCATTTTTTCTTTGTGTCTTTTATTTTATTACTTTTTATTTCTTTCCCCTTCACGTGTGCGTAGTTGCGTAGTTGCTAAGAGAAGATAGATCCCCCTTTTTTTTTTTATTGCATTATTATAATTTATTTCATATAAACATTTGATACAGTTTTAAAATTTCATTTCGTAGAGCTTAGTATTTAGTAGTTTAGTGTTAATAAGTAATTAGGTTCTATAGAATAATATCGGAGATAAATTGGATGGAGTGATCGAGGAGAGTTTCAAAGTTTGGTTTGGCATGATTATCGTGTTCACTTTGATACATTCGGATATATAAAAGAACATCTGCAGAACAGAATGCAACGTGTTTTCTTCTGCCAGAGGACGAGGCTTTCCGAGATATGCATATCTATCGAAAAACGACTTAAGATATTTTATTTTATTTTTTTTTTATTCTCTTTTCTTTTTAAATTGATAATTTAAGGGTTAAATCGAGTTAAATTTACAAGTAACGAGATATCTGCAAAGTGTAAATTTTGCCTCTTTCGTTGAGCAAATTTTAAATCTTAAAAAGTTGATATGTAACGATATTTCTTTTAACTCTATAATTTTTATCTTCTTCTTTATCTCATTTCGAAATTTTCGAAAAAAGAGGATCGAATTGATATTTATTTTAAATATATATATATATTTATTTATTTATTTATTTTAATTCTCTTCTCGATATGTGCTATAGTATTTTCTGTTAATTTTTTTTTTTTTTTTTCTTCCTTTTTTCCTTATTACATCGTAAGAAATCAACAAATATTGGTCTCATACTGGTCTGTGATAGTCCTCTCGATCGAAACAGGCACACAGGTGATAACTTATTTGATCGCGATCGAACGTTCATTCGCATTCGATCTGAAGTATAATAATAAGGGAACGATAAAAATTTCCATTTTGTATGATTAAACTCGATAGAACGACGATTGAATTGCATGTTGTCTGCAGATACCGGTCGCTATAAAATAAGGTACGTATTTTGATCTATGTGGATAACTACGGGGGAGAATCGTCTATATATATATTATATTATATATATAGACTAAATCTTATCTATGCTTGTTAGAAGATATCTTACTTTAAATATACAGTAAATATACATGTGCGCTTAAATTGTCAGAATATTCTCACTACTCTATCCAAATAAGAAGGGGCCAGGCGTCGATCCTCGAATCGTATAAATTTTAATCGATTTTGTTTTTGTTTTTTTTTTCTTTTTTTTTTTGTAACGAAATATCAAGAAGACAAAATTTCTGATCGAATACTTCTACACAAAATGAAGATACACAAGTATGATGAACAAGTTTCGCGGAAGAATCGACAAGACGCATTATCGATAGATAGATTCGGATAAAGATAGACGCAAAAGGTGTGAAAACGTTTGATCTCGATTTGAGGATCGACGAACGATTGTTTAGGATTGTTAACGCGGGTTCGATGTATAGATACATGTGTACAACAGTGGAGAGGTAATTCGTTTACCAAGCAAAGATTGTCGGCAAGGGTTGCGTCGTGAGAATATTATTACAACCTAGGCATATAAGTAGAGACGTATCGTTAATTCGCTTTATATATGGACTAGACTCAAGTACTTATTCGATATAGCAGATCTTCATACGATATTGCAAAGAAACGTAGTTTCAAGCTGTTAACGGTCGAAGATGTGAATTTACAGTGTGGATACCTCGTGGAGACTCGTTACCGACGCGTTTCTTCCTCGTTTCTCATCCTCGACGGTATTTACGATTTTTTCTCTCAAAGGATCGCAACAAGGGAAAGTTGAAAAATTGACACGTATCTAAGTAACGATCCCACTCTTATTGTCGATGCTTTCCTTTTTCTTCGATTCGTTCGCGAGAAACTCGCCTCGGAAATAATTGTACAATCATCGAACGGGTCGGTAACGAGCGCTCGAGCAAATTCGTCCTGTGTCGCAAAAAAAGCCGATCAACGGACTGGATGGTTTTACAAAGAATCGATAGCAAAATATTCATTCGTATTATTGTATACACAACTACTACAACGACACGAAGTAGGTAGAAGAGTTACAGAATAATCGTAATTCGAAAGGTTGGAAAAAGGATGCGTGGGATCGGAAGGAAAAAAAGAGAGGAGATTTTTTTTTCTCGCCGTAGAAATCGATAAACGTTTAAAGTGTTGAAACGTTCCTAACCTGCAAAATAATACAATATACATATAATCTTTTATGTATACATATATATCTCTTTGTGTGTGTGTGTGTGTGTGTGTGTATGCGCGTGTGTATGTATATATATATAAATCAAAATTGCGAAAGAGGATAGGAAGAGAAGGCCATCCTCCTTCTTCTCCCTCTTTCGTTCTGATATGTATGCGCGAAATAAAATCACGATTTTCCTTTCTTTCCTTTTTCTCTTTTTTCCTTTTCTGTTTTCGTTCTTCCTTTCCTTCCATTTCCATTCTTTTTCCCTATCTCTTCGAAGCGGACAGATTCGAGACGACGCCACGAGGGCGTTCCGTTACCCTTCCTCCCCTTCTCACCCCCATTCCCCTTCGTTCGCGCAGTCTTCCCAGTTTCCCGAGCACGGACGTTTATTACGTTCGCGAAATAAGAATAACGCGTCTAAAATTATGGAAGGCTCGGCCTAGCTTCGCTAGACCCTCGTCGATATACAAATCGCGCGTGTAAATACATAAATAGCCGTATATAAATTAATTAATTAAGTACAAAAAATTACAAACTTATTTAACAAAAGAACATTGGCAAGACTCGAGGCTCGGCCGGATCAAAAGTTCCCTTCCACCATTCTTTCTTCCTCCTCTTTCGTTTTCTCTTTTCTTTTCGTTTAACGGAATACGCAACCTGTCTTTCTTTTGTTTTTTTCGGGCAAAGGAAAACGCAAACGATGCGACGTACAGGAAGAGGGAATCGAATCGCACAATTAATCGCGATTATTCGAATATTTTGCAAATAAGAAGTAAAAGGTTTCATAGGTTCAACAACATAGACAATAGACAATAATTTCACAGTTTTCACTTTGATCCATCCATGGTCAGAATTCGGAAAATTGAACGAATTGTGAATGTTACACACCGCGAAGGTTGTGATTCGATTCCTCGACAAGTACAGAACGTGCGGCAAAACGTGGACGCCCCGCTCCCCGTCGATTTTTTTTCTTTTTTATACATAAATCTTAAAATATCTTTTTTTTTTTTTCCTTTCAGAAATCACCGCACTTTTTAAATACGTAAATACCTAAACACATATCACAGAATCGTGTGTACTCCATTAAAAAAAAAAAAAAAAAATGATCACAATCAATCCCCCCTCGCGAGTCCTCCCTATTTTTTTTATATATCTCACTGTGACGAGCGCTCGCAGCATCGCGAACGAAGGATCGAAACAAGGAAACGAAACGAAGCGACGGTAAACGGCACAACGGTCACACGTTGTTGTATTGTACGGCCTAATTAAAAAAATAACTAAATTCCGCGTGTGTTGCGTTTCTCCTTTTTTTCTTTTTTTTTTTTTCTTTTTTACACAACTCGATCGAGGCGGATTCTCAAATATTTTTGTGCTCCTCGACGAGATCGATTCTCCTACGAGGGAGGTAAGAAAAGAAGCGTGGCTATCGCGTTCACTCGAATCAATTCAAGGAACAATTCAAAATGCAATATCTCTGAGAAAATTTTTCACTGTGATGGCGTGGAGGGGAGAGACAACATTTTTGCCCGTGCGCTGATAATAATTAAACGACAACGAGAAACAGCAGCAAGTCACGTTTAAAGATGATCGAGGAAACGATCTCTAGCCACGCTCCTCCGTCGTATCTATCCGAACCCGGACCGATATCGATACGATACAAACGTTGCAAACGTATCCTTTTTTCAAATTACACAACACGATACGTTCGGCTCGCAGAAATTTTCTATCGATCGTATTCTCCATCACTCGCCACGTAAAACCGATCCTCCACCGATCTCCACCGGTTTCGAATGTACAATCATCGCCTTTCACGCGATTTCGCGATCGACGAAGCGAAAGGGATCGACTCGAAATTCTTCCCGACGACGACGACGACTCGACCTGGGCAGAGATCCTCCAGGTGAGAACTTAACGATAACGGATGAATGAATCGACACGAAACTGTGTAAGAGTGTGTCGCGGGGAAACGCTCTTTTCACCGGTATTATCTGTATGGTACAGTGACGCGTTTTGTGATCCGCCTCGGTGAAACCATCTCCTGAGAGATACCTGCGAACAATCGAGAATATGATGCAATATCGATCGATATTATTTACACGCTTTGTAATTATAATTCCATCGTCCAGCTGGGGAGGAAATGATACTCTTTCCACTCCACAGTTGGACGAATGATACCATCACGTGTGTTCGCAATGTTCGATCATCGATCGATTTGTGTATGAAAATGTATATATTAAATTATTCACTTCGTTTCGACGACTGTTCGTGTTCTGCACGATTGTGATTAGTTACCTTGATCACTGAAACGGAGCGATGCCGAGGTGACGAGGAGGCTATTGGTTGAGCAGGGTGTTAGTCACCTCAGAGATGGACAGCAAAGGACTCCCGGTGTCCGGTTTGGAATCTGAGGGACAGTTGGGCCCATTCCCGCCGCTGATGATCCCACCGCGTGTTGGTGCTGAGGGTGGTGGTGCGGAGGGTGGTACAAGACGTTGCTGTTGCTGGTGCTGCTGTCCTGCCCGATGCCCATGCCGACTCCTGTCCCCGTTGTTCCCACAGCTGACGGGGGCGTGCTGCAACGCGTTTCCCCGTTATTTCGACCACCCCTATTTCCAACCCCTCGCGTTTCATCTCACTCGCCATGTATATTTCATATTCGATTGCCACCCATATCGAACGATCACAATGATTTGTCGGTAGAAAAAAAATTAGTCTCTCTCGACTTTCCACCACTTTTCTTACTTATTTGGATAAAAATTCTCTTAAGTACTTGTAAGTGCAGTGAGCTAAATCAAATTATACGAGAAACAAATAAATCAAAAATGAAAACGTGGACATGCAGAGATTGAATATGATTGAATAACACGATTTTCAGAGATTTGTTCATGCATCTTCGTTACGCGCATGCCCAACGATCAACTATAACTTTCACAATTTTTCAATTATTCCAACCATGTTTCGAAAGGCCACTACTCTACTACTCTACTAGACGCGCACCCGTCTATCTCCCCCCCCCCACCCCTCCTTCTCTCTCTCTCTCTCTCTCTCTATAAAAAAAAATTCTACAACACTCCTCGAATCCCATCCTCGAAACGACGAGGAGAGAACGCAACTTCACTCCCCCACGTCGCGGTTACTTTAAAATGCGTGAGGCAGCAGCATCTGTGACACTCACTGGGGCGCGTGCCTTGGTGGTGCGGGGTGGTGATGGTGGTAAGGATAGTACTGGTAGTGGTGGTGGTGGTGTTGCACTCCTTGCCATACCTCGGACCCCGTGTCCCCGTGGCCGTGGCCTGGATGCGCGTATCCGATAGTGCTTGCCGCTGCGGCCGCGGCCGCCGCGGCCGCAGCCGCCGCCGCTTGATACTGTGACGTGGTCACCGGGTACTGCTGCTGCTGTTGATGGTGTTGCTGGTGCGGCTTGGCCGCCCTCGGCGAGCTCGGGGCCTGCTGCTCGCCGGGCGACGTCTGCCGCCATTTGCACTCCCCGTTCATCGAGTTCATTTCCGCCAACGACTTGAGGGGATCCCCCCCCGTGGTCGAGTGAGTGGACGAGTGAGTGGAGTGAGGCGTGGGTGGGCTGTAGCTGCCGTTGTTCCTGGGCGGCGTGCGGGCCGGTGGCGCCCCCCACATCAGCACCGTCTGCCGGGGCGCCTCGCCCCCGTACACTTCCGGCTTCACGTCCTCGATTTTCGGCGTGAGCACGCCGTTCGTCGCCCCGGTCACGGGCGAGCTTCCGGCCGAGTTGCTCGACGAGCCTGCCCCACCCTCGAGGGAGTGTCTGCTGCCCGCTCGAACGATGCTCATGTCGGTGTGTTGTTGTTGTTGTTGTTGTTGTTGTTGCTGTTGTTGCATGGTCGAGGCGGTCGCAGCGACGGGACTCGACGCGTACGGGGAGCCGCTCACGCTGCTCGGATGTCTGCTAGCCTCCACGTAGCTGTACTTGGGCGACTCGCCCAGTTGCTGGCAGTACAGCTTCTCCTCGGCTTTGCTGGCCAGCTGGTGGGTCTCGTAGGTCGGCAGGGGCACGTCGATGAAACCGTTGTACGCGGTGCTCGTGTGGTACTCCGGGTAGTAGGTGCCCAGGGGCCTGTATTGGAACAGGTTCTCCGTGGCTGCGGTCAGGTATCTGGAATTTGCAGGATTATTACTCGATTTGCGATGATCGCGCCAAGAGAATTTTCGTTTATCGAAAATGTTCGAAAGAATTTATTCGTGAACGGGAGAGGGAGGCTCACCTGTTGTCCAACGCGGTTGCCGGGTACAAAGTCTGATGATAGTTGCCCGTGTGGCCGATGTACGTGGTCAGGGAGGGATCCGTGGTTGCAGCTACTGCCGTGGGCGCGTAAGCGGTCGGATACATGGTGTTCAGGTTGCTGTATGCCGCCGCGACCGCGGCGGCGGCGCTGGTGTCGGCCGCGAGGTAGTCCACGGATGCGACGGTGGGTGTGGCGGGCGGGGAGACGGACGATTGAGCGGACAGTTTGGTACGTTTGTTCCGACAGGTGGACAGGAAGTCTCTCAGTTGGGTTTTGTACCGCCTGTTCACCCTCTGGGACGTGGGCTGGCTGGGAAGGGTCGGAGTCATCACCGAGCCGGTGAGGCTGTCGCTGTCCGAAAAGTAACTGTTGGTGAGGCCGGCGTCCAGATAGCTGACTTTGAAGTCCATCGTCCGTTTGCCGAGGAGATCTCTGCCCTCTTCCTCCCTTCGGTGGAGGAAAATGAAATGAAAATGTCAAAGATCCTGTTCGGATCCTCGTAGACGAGAAAACACTCACATGAGGGGTCGATGCGTGCTGATCACGAAGTCCGGTTTAGAGTTCTTGTAGACTAGCCTCGAGCTGGTCTGCAGCCACTGCCATCCGCCATCTTTCTTTTGGAATCTGTACGCTATCATCCCCGAGGCCCCCGTCTTTAACACTGAGAAGTGATATAGCGGGTTGAAACGAGTTGAATTGGATATGAATTGGTTTTTTTTTTTTTTTGGTTTTTCGCGGAGAAGCGCTTACGTTCTTGGTGGGCACTCGCCACGTATGCCAAATCGTCGTAATGGACTAGATCGTAGCCGCCAAGGTTTGCGAGTTCCGCGTCCGAATAGCCCAACAACATTTTCCCCCGTTGATCCATGGACACGAGCGCGAGATCCAGTTTGTGCTTGCTCTTGAACATCACGTCCTTCTGCGGGACTTCGAGCAACGAGGGCGGGCCGAACGGTGTGCACAGGGCGAACAGAGCCAACGGTGGCTCTTCCGTTTTCCTGTTTTGACCATGGAGTATCTTCACCCGTCCCCTGATGTCCAAACGCTGAAAGTAAAACAAGAAAAAGGAAAAGAAAAATAGAACTACTTACTAGATCGGATAAAAGGGATCGAAGGAAGAGTCCGGTTTTTACAATTTTATTTCTCGAATTAAGAAATGCGAGCAAAGTTATTAATTTATTTAATCGTCCCATTTATGAAAATCAGTCTGTTTATAAAAATTTAAACGGAACAGATTCTGAATCCCCTCCTGATTTCTATCGCACGAGATTATACTTCGTATCGATTCTATTCTCTCTTTAACAACGAACAAGATGATCGAATAACGATTCCTCCCTTGATCATCAATCGTGACAAAAAAAATGACAAGAAAGATAATCCGCCAACCATGATGCATGGAGTAGAAGATCGTAAATTTCTTCGGAGAAAAGGCGCAATTCCAAACACCACCAACACCACTGGGAGGAAAACACGCGGTAATTACTGGGAGAGACTTGCCCCCCGCTCCGCGATTAACTCTATTATCGCGAGCCAAGGGTTAAACGTTGCTCTCGCTTGCAATTATGAAAATTTGATGCCGTAAAAATCGGATCGATAGATGGCGACATTTTCGCAATAACAGGTTCTCTGTCCAATTATTGTTTGACAGATTCGCGAGAAAAACGAAACTGATAAAAGATTTCTCGTCGATCGTGCAAGATATACGAGCGAGGAAACTGTTCCTCCTCCGTGGGTCAAAGGATCATCCTCGTTCGCGTGACCGTGCACGAAGAGGTTTCCATGAATGAACCAGAGTTTACGTTGCACTACGTTCCCCAAACGAACGTGGAACTGTGACCAGGCATGCGAGATACGCACAGCTAAAGACCCCCGGTATCGATTGGGCTTAGTAGTAGAAACGTGCATGGCCTGGCAACATAAATATCCAAACAATATATTGGGAATAACGAGAGATTCTCTATGAGAGATGCCTCGTTCCTTTAAATCTATTCCTACGTTAATTTGAAATGAGAGAAAGGTTTGAAAAAAATTGTCCAAGATATCTGAACATTCTTGATCTACGCTATATACTGCGATTTTTCGCAATCGAAATATATTTCGAATAATCTTAAAACGTGATCGTTCATGACTTTGATTTTTTTGTCTCTCGAACGATGTAACTCGATCTTGGATTAATCTTTTAAATAAACTCTTTAAGAGAATTGAGCATGGAGCTTCATTATCTTAAGAGATTACGATAAATTAATTTCAAGGATCGCAAAAATCGCAATGGAGAAAAGTAGTCATTCGACGAAAGACAAGATAACAATTCTTATCTTTAACAACAGTTATTATAGTTTCTAAAAAACTTTTGAACGAAATCTGTGATGAAAACTTGGATTCAAATACCAAAAACAACTCACCAAAAAACCGGACGTGTTGTCCAGAAGACACCGGAAGCGGACAGTGAAGCTTCGCTCCAAGAGATGACTGTGTTGGGGTGAAAGGGCGTCGTGCAAAGGGAGACTTGCACTTTCACTGGGAAGAAACGAGTTCCACATAAGCTGCCTTTGCAACTCCTCTCGATCCTCGCTGTGCACCAGCTCGTATACGCTTTGATGGACGATGTCGGACTGAAACAGACAAAGAAAGGGAGTCAACAAAGTGAAGAAGGGGTAAGTTTCGCGTGGAAAAAAAAAAATTCACAAGATCACGTAAGTGCGTAAAATCGTTTATGGTAAGGCAGGTATACGCAGAGTTGGAGACGTATCGCGATGGAAAAATGCAGATAAAGGTGTAAAAATAATTTTTTGAAACGTGGTGCAATTTTTCGCGAGCTCTGTCACCGAAGCAGAGTGGCGCAGTGGAAGCGTGCTGGGCCCATAACCCAGAGGTCCGTGGATCGAAACCACGCTCTGCTAATTAAGGGGGTTGATTTCCCGTTAATTGATTTTTTTCCCTAATTTTTATATTACAAATTGTTTTTGAGTTTTATATTGGCTTTTTTTAGTATTTTTTTTTTTTTTCTTTAAATTTCATTTGTAACGAGTAAAATTTTAACGGTAAGAGGTAAGAGCTCGGTAAGAATGTGGTATGAAAGCAGAGAAGAAAAAAGTAAAAAGTTAAGCAACCCTTTAGCAGAGCGTGGTTTCGATCCACGGACCTCTGGGTTATGGGCCCAGCACGCTTCCACTGCGCCACCCTGCTTCGTTGGGGGATGTTTTTAAATAATTTTCCACAAGATTGGACAATTTGATTTTTAATATTTCAATATTCGATATAACGAATATTATAAATTTCGATCGAGAAATATAAACGCAAATGTACGTCTGTTCTTTTATCTGCATTTGATCGAATCATCTTGCGTTTAAAATTATATATAAAAGAAATAATAAATAAGCGTTATTTATTAAATAACAAATTATATTGCATCGTTAAATTATATCCTTAACGACGAAAGAAATTGCCTAATAAATTTTACGTAAATATGTATTCTCTATTTCACGCACGTATTATTCTATTATTATCAATTGCATAGCATCGCGAATCAATCTTTGCAAGATTGGAGATTATTGATCTACTTTAATTTCACCCTGTGCAAAGGGGTTGAAAACAGCTTTAGGGAAGAAGCCGACACAACAGCAGAGTGGCGCAGTGGAAGCGTGCTGGGCCCATAACCCAGAGGTCCGTGGATCGAAACCACGCTCTGCTAAGACGAGGTACATCGTCACTTTTTTTTTTCCATTTTCTTTTTTACATCCTCGTTCAAGACACGCTTATCATTCAATATGCGTGGAAAATAAATTTTTTACAATTTTCCTTATCATAAAAAATACACGCGTCTCGTAACGCAAACTTAACTTTGATACGATATCCCTCTGTGTTTTGCGTTCAATTTTAAAAAGAATATTGTTCTATCGTTGATTAGTGTTAAAAAAAAAAAAAAAAAAGTAAAAAATTAATCTAACGTCAGCCTTTTAAAATATGCATTTACCACATATCACAAAGTTTAAATTTAGTGGCTGATAAAAAAGTAATTTAACGGTATATTTTTCAAGAATTAAATGCAACACAAGAAGAAAAGAGATCTAAAATTTATCCAGAAAAAAATCCTTCACAAACTTCGAGACGTTTGTAACACGTTCCACTCCAAATCCAATCGAATCGAATTCTCCCGTCGCTGTTCCATCGCGATCACGAAACAACGCAAAATAAATAAAAACCTTGTACCGAACCTTATATCCGAATTTTCGCAATTCGAAATATTCGCCCTAAATAAAATACCTTTGGCCAGAATCAAATTCTCTTCCAACACGCTATTCCAACACGTCCGAATGGAGAACAACCGGATCAAACGAAAATCGTATGCCACGATATAATAATTTCCAATGCAACCTCCTCCTCCCCCCGCAATGAGAACGCAATGGAGACGACAATTCGAACTTGCTGGAGCGGGAGCACGGAGACGATCGCCGTTGGAAGGAAGGTTGGAGAGTTGCAGCGGCATTATTTCAGGAAATATCTGATCGGTCGTGACGTCGCGACGGCGACATAGGCGCACGTACGGCACATGTAGCTACACGTGTCCGACGCACTTTATCGCGCATAATTAATCCGGCCTAGGCAGCGACGGGCGATGAGCCCGTGGTGCACGAGAAACCCATAGTTTCCTCGTTCCTTCGTCCAAGAAAAAACGAGCAGAAAGAATACCACTCCTCCGTTCTGAGCCTCTCCTCTCTCTCTCTTCTATTTCTCCTTCCTTCTCTCTCTCTCTCTCTCTCCCTCATTCTGCTCGCTCTGCGCGCGTATGATCGGATAATCCACCACGCACCCTATGCCTCGCGAGCCAGCCTAGAAAATAGATCGAATTAACAGGGTACCCGACCATACGCTTGTAATCCGGCCTTCGACGCTTGGAATAATGCAATAAATCAGGCTTGGTGGAAATGATACGGGCGCGAGCTTGCCTTGCCACCACGGCCCTTACGGCCTAACCTTGTAAGCTCTCGTCGAAATAGGAAGGCGATGTGGCGCTACCCGGCCTGTATGTGCTTCTATATAGGGAAGCCACGGGTCGGCTCGCCTCGAACAGAGCTGTTATCTCGGGCACGGGACGGGAGGAGCAGGCGTACTACTACGATGCCATCGCTTTTCTTTCTCTTTGGATCGGAGTTATGGAAGGAAGGAGAGGGTGTAGTTTCTTCGTCTTTCGTTTTTTTTTTTTTTGGTATACTTGTATAATTATCTTCGTTACGAGCAAGCGTTTGATCGAAAATTATTAGGAAATCGTATATACTATTTCTTGAAAAATTATCGTTCACCGTGGATCCATTCCATTGAATCTTTCCTCTTTTTACTTTAAGGTATAAATGAAAGAAGAAGAAAAAGGATGACGGAATGGATAGAATAATTCAAGTTTCTTCGTTTCGCTTCGTCCAAGGGGAGCAACATTCGCGACACGAATTTCTCGTGATAATCGGGCGGAGTAAAGAAGGCGAGAAGGCTCGATCGAATAATTTTGTAGGATGGCCGGTCGAATTGTCGCGATAGGCCCATTAGCTGGTCATAGTTGGGCTCGGGAATAATATAATAAATCACGCGATAGAAGGGAACGGGAGCTTTCGAGGTACCACGTTGCATTTCCGATAGGCGGAACAGGGTAGCCGCACGTAGCTCTGCACCTTCTCGTAACCGTTCGTGTCGCCGGTGCACGGATCTCACGACTTCCATGTTACTCACACCATCCCTACGTTACGATATTGCCCGTGAACGATAATGGGATGCCGGGGCTCCACAGCCTGAAACCTCTATTTTTCCAAACAAAATACCCTGGCTCTCGCCTCCTATGAACAGCCGTGAACCAGCCGATATCGAGAAAACGAGAGGAAGCGAAAACAAGCCTCGAGAGCTTTCGAATTTTAACAACGGAACATTCTTTTCCGGGGTATTGCTCGATACGTGTATACGTCCATTGAAATACAAAAGGATCCCATTTTAAAATTAGATTCTACAACTTACTCGTTATAATTGTGAAAAGAAAAAAAAAAAAAAAGAAAGAAAGAAAAAAGGAGGAGGAAGAGAAAACCAATTTTACGGAAACTATCGAAACTACGCGCACAATCTGCATCCAAATGCCATGTTAAAAATACGAAGGAACTCCTTCGAGGGAGCAGGATGAGTGAAAAATTCTTCGAAATTCTTCAAGTTTCCCCTAAAAAAGATCCCTCCCCTCCTCCTCCAAAAAACGATCACGATGGAAACGCCGAAAAACGTCTCCCTCCCGTTCCACCCCTCGGTCGGACGATCGGCCGGCCATAAAACTCAATCTCTCAATAAATATAGGGAGAAGCTCAGCGCCAAGTCGCAATCGTGTACCCGTTGCGAGGAGGGAGGGAGAAGGGCGAGTGTCCCGTCGAAGGGGCCCGGCCGGCCGGTTCACCGCGGGTTCCACCGATGAATTCGAGGAGGAAGGGGGATCGGCTTAGGGCTTTCCCTAAGGTCTGCTTCGATCCCGCTGAGCTTGCTCCGTTTGCTCTAATTTTAATTAAACCCTTCCTCCCACGGACAGGATTTCCGTGGTAATCGAGGAGGCCGGCAACGGCCATACTTCATCGGGACACGCTCGACGTGTAATTGCTCCGCGTTGCCCTTTATTCCGCCCCGCCAACATGGCTCGCCGGCCAATTTTATCCCCCCCCCTCCCCCCTCCTCCTCTTCTTCTTCTGTCGTCCCCGCGCAAGTGTATCGAGCAAACGTTTGGTTTGGTTTACGTACGTGTAATTTTCATTAATACGTGATTTATTCCGGCAAACGGTGATTTATGGAATTATATCGACGCCCGATATAAGTCGGCGTCGTGCCACTCGACCGAGAGAGAGAGAGGAGGTATTCGTGCGTCTTAGTT